CTAGTGTCCACTTACATACCACAAGTCCAGAGGCTTATCCTTTACCGGCGTTAAGTTCCGATCTAATTAAGATTAAACAATAAGCACCTCCCACAAAACGCTTTCAATCTTGTCCTTATCTCCATCTCATATTTACGTACAATCGACTATTCACAAAACACTCTAAAGGTACCTCCCGACTCGGAACGAATTCTACGAGCCCAACAACGTGTTATGACAATGTAGCCAGAGGACACAACGTTTCAATCCTAGAACAGGCTAGGACCATGATTTTCACTTTGAGAATCAAGTTAGCTAATAAATATGAAGGATTTGAGTTCATAGATACTATCCGTACCTTCCTTTCATCAGCGTCATCATGGGGCATGGAGCCTTACGGCACCACACGATACTGTATAAGTACACTCCGACTCGGATGCTTGTAGATTAGAATGTTGTGAAGTGATAAGCTTTCCTCTCGTCACACATGGCGTCCATGGATATTGCCACGACACCACACGATCGTGAGCTTTGGTTAGACCGCAGATCAGCTATACCTCTGTATTCATGCGTCATGAAATTTGTTACGAACCCTACGAGCTAGAATGCGTTATGACAATGTAGTACAGCGAGGAACAACCGTTTAATTCCCAGAACACGTTAGTTGTACTAGTACCAGTTTCATTTCACTCAGGTACCACGATCTTCACTTGTGGAATCAAGCAAGTCCGAGATCTTCCATCAGCGTCATCATCATACATGATAGTTGCCTATGCATGGAGATTATATGTAGATCAGTATACTAGTATGTATGGTGTCAGTAGTACGTACGTATACTTATGACATGAGGGTCGTGATTCCCGGGTTGATCGAACGTGCTTGAAGCCTTCAGTCGTGATCGATTTCTTTCAATTTGGATTTTCTTCTTGTGAGGAGAGATCAATCGCAAGAGCTTAAGGTATGAAGCCTACGAACCCACAGCGTTACAATGATGTTGTCAATACAGCTTACTAGCCCTTCGAGTCTGAGTGTACCCGGGCTCCGGGGGGAATGGTTCGGTCCCAAAGCAGGGTCATTGAAGCGCTAAAGTCGGACCAGAGGAAGAGTTCTGAGACCTGTATTTTCCTTTCATTAGTGTTATGATTTACCTTTGCATGGAGGTTATATGAACTTACGTATACGATATGAGACGAGCAGGGTCATGATCTTCAGGTTCTGTAGTCGGTAAGTATCGATTGAACACTGTCTCAGTCATGCCAGTCCTTCTCAACATGAGATAAGAACCTAAGATCCTGAGATACAATCCTACGAGCTGGCCCATGGCCGATGGTCCAATCACCGTGTGGGGCTGGATAGCCCCTCAGCGTGTCTGCATCAGTCTGAAGTCTTCGCTGATGAATAATTTGCCCACGACGGTGATGAGAGACCTTCCATAAAAACGTTAACATAACATAGAAATCCACAACGTGGCACTCTCTTGGCCGAGGTATTTCAAACTAATTGATCAATGATCACCAGTGCAGTATCACCGTCAGTGCGCAGCAACAGTATCAGCACGTATATCGCGCGCAAGGCGCCTCAAGCATTGTTATATCTGATTTTAGCTCAAACACACCGTATCATAGATCATGCCATAATCATCATGATTAATGACGATCAGGATTCATTCCTGCACGCACTCTCTTGTGAACTTACATAGTTCAAACATGACATCCTGTCAATCTATGCAATGCATAGCCCATCTGCGGGCCGATGTAATTGGGGTGGACTCGGATGCAGGATGCCTGATGGTACTTATCTCTGCGGCCCGACAGCGCCCTCGGCAAGCTGCAATGCGATTCTTGAGCTGTCCATCATGATTGAACCTAAAATTTGTGTTCGAGATGGAAGGAGGAACTTGCGAATAAGCCCCATTATCAGAATGTCCATACTTGGAAGTTGTAGTAGAGATTAGATTAGATCTATGTAATTTGGGAGCAAATCACTAAGCCACCTGACATAATCATGGTGATCAACGCGACGATCTTTTCCTTCCCTTTTTGAGGAGGCGTCAGACATGGGTCGACGTCTAACCCAACTTACAAGGTCCCGAAGAGAAAGATTAGCAATAATGGCAAGCTGGCTCATTTTGTGAGAGCATCGCAGTGCATACGTGGTGAATCAAACTGTTGCTCGTGGGTACTATACCGCCCACGAGAGATATCTGGGTTCGCTATTGCGTCTTCGTTTCTGAAGAATGTTTTTTGGACTGCCAATAACTCTCAGTAACAGTGACAGTTGGTACCCGAGCTGTATGACTAGTGTGAGGTAACAGCTTGTATTCTAGAGGTCCTACTAGCACGAAGCCAAGTACCGCTGTACAAAAGCGAAGGATTATGTCCGAATTGGCGGAATAAGAGGTCCAAACTATACTCTCCCTCTCGCAACCAAATGCAACCTTATGATAGCCAACCTACCACCCGCGCCGGCGTCTTATGCACAAATGAATTGCGAATTGGATAAATCTGCACACTCTTTGAACCCAAAGCATCAGATATTCAATGCCTCGCAATATTGAAGATTGGCTAGCGAAGTCAGTTTCACCACATAGCCTGTATACATACTTCCTTTGTTCTTAAAACGTGCAATCATGGAATTATCTCGACTTTTATTAGGAGATCCGAGACACAGTAATGAAGATACACGCCTACCCGCAACCCAGAGTTTGCGTCTCCGGATGTGACTCACCACCCATTTCGTCATGTGTTGTATTGATATTTAGACTACAATACATTCGTCTCCATTGCCTGAACCGGACAGTGAAGGCACGAAAATCTTTCCAGCGCTCATCGCCTTCTCACATGCATGTCGAAGCACGTACATAACGATTAACTCTGAGAAATCTGACCGTTGCGCTTGCACAGCGCCAATAGTCCCTTTCTTTGTCTCAAAGCTGGTTCTGACGGTCCGGTCACAAGTACTTCCTAGTCTAGGCTTAGCCCCAACTCGAATGTTATTATCGGCTCTTCCCACGCTCAGGCTCAGCGCTCAAGCTTCACTTAGTCTCACAACTCTCCACCCAATATGACACTCTGTCTGCCTTCCGGATCGGGTACTGAGTCAATTTTGAGTATGTTTTTTGAGTCAACTAAGGACTTACATCGAGACAATGATTACCCGACGCCTTATCCGCTAAAAATCCACCCTCACTAAAAGCTGACAGATATTACAAAACAGCCCGTAAGGAAATACTGACCAGCTTGCTATCCAAGTGTCTATGGAAGGATACTTATCGGCTGACTTTATTAGTTCATTCCCGCGAAGTGGACCACATGCGTCGTGATACATGGTGCCGAATCAATGGCCGGGTGATGTTATTTATGTATGTATAACCCTGCCGCGTGTTTTGTCGCACCACAGATGCTCAGGACTGATTTACACCCCCTTCCCTCCTTCGGCTATCTCATAATTGCTATCAACCTGCCGTCCAACCTGCTGGGTACGGTGCTTCGTCCCCCAATCTACCCTCGGCGACAATTTTTCTAAATGCACATCAACCAGCGAAACCGTAAGAGATGTTACCGAACAGCTGGCCTACTCTCCAAGTTGTGCTCATATTAGGGCGACGTCTCCCTCGCAAAGAGGTCAACCACAAATTGGTCCAATTCTGACCCTCAGCGATCCATTCATTCTATAACGCCTGATGTATTCTGTTCTCCCCTTGCCCCAAATAAGCAATGGTATCCCTCCCGAACCTATCATAAATAGGATCACATCCTTACGCAACCAATCAGGCGCTAAGTCAGCCCTAGGGGGGGTTGTGACGCGTATACTCGCATCAACCTTCGGGACCTCCAACCGTCCAACACTGCCAGACCCACATGCGTGGTATTTTCTGGATAGCCAGGATCATTTACCGAAGCGACTGGAGATAGGAGATCCAGTAGAGGTACAGGTGTACATCCTGCCTCTATCTCCGACGGCGTTAGGATCCTGTCAACTTCGGAGGCTGACAGTAGGGACAGTTCGAGCATTGGTAGGGGATATGGCCTGCCTTGAACTCATGGATCGAGAAAGAGTGCAGAAGCTGTTCTTGCCCTTGCATCTTGCATCCGCATCGAGCAATTGAGTCCAGAAGGTGGGCAAACCCCAGTTGCGAACAGATCACTGCTTGACACAAACCTTCCATCCTTTTTCATCATTTCCCTACGTGTAGTTTTTCTCCCACTGGAATATGACGATAATTACTTCCATTATACCCAAACCAGTATATATTCGTTCCCCCCCATCAGATAACGAGGCTATATAAGCCTGAAAAATTCGGATATATTGATCATTTCCTTCTACTGATAACAGACTCGCTTAGTCCGTTGCTCGGATGGTGGACAGTATAATTCCTGCACACTCTCGTGTATCGCGTTAAACCATACTATGATCATCGATTCTACAAGATGAAGGAAACATTATCCTCATTAGCCAATGTCTTCGAATTCGTTAAGGAAAAAGATCAGTAGCATGTAAAGGTAGAGTGGGCTCGAATGCTGCGGAGTCTTGACGTCACCTTGTACTAATGACAGTCCTTTTGATGTTGTAAAGTTATGTACAGTGTCCACAAAAAATGACCAAACGTCGACAATATGAGTCGACATAATAGAACAGTTGCCTCCAATATGATGCTCGCACGGCGGAAACTAATCAGGGTAGCTCGGAAGACAGTTATGACCCTCAGGCTGAGAATGCGTCGGGAAAAATTCGAGAGAAGCGGGAGGAGAATTTGAGAGCGGCGGGAGGAAGGTTCAGGTGCGGACAGGAGATATCTGGCCAAATGGAGATGATGGAGATTATATTACAACGCATCATTCGCTACTAGGATAATATTTTTTAAAAAAAGACTATTGCGTAAAGAGAGTTATCTTTAAATTGTATCAATAATAATAACATGGTTCTATGTTCTGCACCCTATCTGTATTGCGCCACTTCATTTCTTTAAGGCGTAGATCAAGAGAACGTACATCAGTAAAACTTTTCAACGCGGCATTTATGGCCGTGTGGCGAAATGGCATCGCGTCTGACTACGATCCATACTGCACTGTTGGGAATTCAATCAGGCGATTGCAGGTTCGACCCCTGTCTCGGTCAAAGTTACGATTTTTCTGCATCTAATGTTTTTTATGGAGGCATGACATACATGCATCTCGTCTGAAGTTGCAATAGTTCCAGACGGTGATCAGCGAAGAATAGGTTCAACCCTTTGCTCTGTCAATTTCATCTGGAAGGAAACTTTTCTTGTTTAATCCTTGCGCTGATGACTTTAGCTAGTAATACCCAAGATACTAGTAATACTTCCCACCCATCATATCACGCCACTTGACCCAAACAGGGGGACAAGAAAAAAGGGCCCATGATGGGATGACATCACGATTTACGATGATTTTCCTTCTCTGAGTTACCTTCTGCAACTTTCTTGTGAAGATGATGAGCTTAAACTTAAATATGTATTCTATGAGTATTACTTCCTAGTACTGCTGTAATAGTCAAAACGGTCAAATCCCTTATCGATATTCTGTTCTATCAGATCCTCTTCAAGAAAACCCTCGCCTCCTCCCACCCCATCCTCTCCCTCTCCTTCGCACACCCCTCACCCCTTCTAATCTCCTCCTCGTTCACCTTCTTCCAATCCTCATACTGTGTAACAACACCATCCTTCAATCCATCCTGCACTTCCGCCGGCACATTCTCAAGGTCCGGCTTGGGATTCATCACTTCCCTTTGCTGGCTCAAGTTGACATTATCTGTGCCCGCCCCCTCTGGCGTCATCGCCGTATGCACTTCTTGATATCCAGGTAGCCAATCTGAAAGTATCGCGTCTGCAACCCCGTATGCATTCATCATTGTCGCGGCCAATACGCCCTTTGCACCGGTCGCAGCCCATCCAGACGCGTATACATTTTTAACTTCCTTGTTTCCATCTCCCACGTCGATAACACGTCCTCCAGGCATCGTTCTCAGATGCTCTAGATCTGAATCATAGAACGGTGCACTAGGCTCTGAGCGGAATCCAAGTGAAGTTACAACCAGACTTGTCTCTACCTCCTCCGTCTCACCCGTCGGCACCGCTCTCCCTGTCTCCTGATCAACCTTCGTATGTGCGAGACTCAACTTCGCCATACCCCTTTCCTCATCAGGGAGCACGAGTCCCATAGGGGACCTATAAAAGTCCAAAGACCACGTCTTCTGGGTCATACCAAACATATTCTTGGACCCTTTCCTCAGAAGCTGCAGAATCCTCCCCTGCTGCCTCGTCGTCTCCTTGACATCCAACACGTCCTCTCGAATCGGTACCATAGCTGCGTCAGGCAGATTAGTCAACTCCCTCAGCTCTTTAGCGGTGAACGCCGCCTCGAGGGGTCCACGACGCCCGAATATAGAGACGTGTCTTACTTGGGAGCGGTTGAGGACATCAAGGACGGGACGGGGGACGTCATATTTTTCGAGGACGGACGGTGGAGTGAGTAGCATGCGTGCCACATCTAAAGAGACATTGCCGTTTCCAATCAAGGAGATGTGTGTCGTGCGTTCGAGGGGAGGAGGAGGAGGCGCGGAGGGATGTTGGGTGTACCAGTGCACGAGAGAGAGGGCAGGGAGGCAGTAGGGCGAGGGAGGGAGAAAAGGATGTAAAGTTGGGAGAGTACAGCCTGTGGCGAAGAGGAGGTGCGTGTAGTTTGTCAAGATGGAGGTTAATGATAGGTTGAGGGTATGTGGAATTGGTGAAGGAGTGGAAGAGGACCCAATATTAACGTTCCCAAAGAATTTGAGGCGCGGATCTGCAGCTGCCGTGTCAAATTTGTGAGTACAGTTCTAGATAGAAACATAATTAGTGTCGCTGCACCATAAAACCATGATGGTCCGCATGAGAACGTCCTGAGCAACACTCGCCTTCACTTCTGGATGATCCGGCGCCACACCATACCGTACTAGTCCATGAGGTGCCCAGAGGCGATCGAACATGTGTATCCGGAGAGGAGGATTCGTCGAATCCGCCTTGACGAGTGAAAGCAGACGCGACGCGACGTAGAACGCGGAAGGCCCGCCGCCGATGATTGCCAGCTTCATTGGCGGCATTTTCTAGAGAAGAAGCAAAAAACCTAAGGAACGCCTGAAAGAGGAAGGCATATATCTTCAAGAGAATGTAGAAATTTAGGCGCCCACAACGCCGTTGACAAATCCGTGTGAACTCATACTATATATACTCACGTTGCCTGAAGAACAATAGCCCTCTTAGCTCAGTGGTAGAGCGCGTCACTCGTATAACATTAGTACATGACGAGGTCAGTCGTTCAAGTCGGCTAGGGGGCATTACTTTTTCTATATTTATGTCTCATATCTCGAGAAGCAGCGATTCCCACAATATTAAGCGACAATAATATAGTCGATCACACAAAAAGTCCTATCATGCAAGAGAAATTAGTTCGAGAGAGATATCCCTCCATGTACGCGCTGCGAAGATATTAACCTAAGCCTAGATCGTTTCTGCCCGTAGCCACGGTGCCCTGCAACCTTGCAAGCCAATCCGGAGCCAAATCTCCAACACTCGCCAAATTCTCCATCAAATTGCTCTCCCAATACATAGGTACGAAGGTGTGCAATTCCGCTGAAGCATATTTAAAATGCAATCGATGCAGGATGAGAACTCTCTGAACAGTAGAGTCCGGCGGATCGCTCGATCGTTTGACGCGCTGATATTCTTGGAATTGGGCAACAATCTTCTGGTGATCTTCGTCATATGGGCCAGCTGGCGTAGTAGAAGAGGAACATTGGAGTTCCTGCATTGTTACAACTTTGGCGTGTACCACTCGGAACGCGGAGCGGGGTTTGGTCCGCGCGGTGAGCTTGGGAGCGGGGATCATGGTTACGTAGAGAACTCTGGGGTTGGTCAGGAGGTCTGGAGGGTCGATTGGGCAGTGATTCAACATCCCAATAGCTGCGAGGTACGAGTTATATAGGGACATTCTGTACGTCTTGAACCACTTGATCTGTGGGATTGAATCATCCGAAAATAGAGCTTTGTCTTGGGGTACACACCATGAGTTTGTAAAACGCAGTGAGAGTCACTTCGGGTGCTCTTAGGCCACTCGCGACGGAAGCCAAAGCAAATTGTTCATCAAAGTCTCCTAAATCTTCCATCACCTGGGCCGTCTTGGAACAGAGGATCTTGTGCCCCGCCCGATCTGTGCGCTCTGTCAAGACAATTAGAATACGGATCAGACCATTGTGATATGCTACTACTTACGACAATTTTCAGAGCAGTATCGTACCCTTTCATCCGAGATTTTATGATCAGCGACGAAATTCATTCGTGTGATCTCCATATACCCACAGCTTGCATCCAGTACAGACACTCAATCGAAGTGTGTCACTTTGCGCAACATTGCAATTCTGCATAGATCAGCTCAAGCCTTTCTGACTAGTAAAGGTGTATGCTACTCACCCCGCATCTTGGGACACGCCTGTAGAAATGAAATTTGTTCAGACCCCTGTTGGATTGTATGATTTGTAAGGCAAACACACTTTCTGATTGTCATATTGAGAGGCAGAGGTTGACGGGAAAATGGAAGAAGAACGAGCTTCGACCTGTCCCACGACTCGAATAGGATATCTAAATCAGGGGCTAGCTAGATGTGGCGCAGTTACACGATCGTGAGGTAAAAGGAGATATGGAAAACAAGCCAGTAAAAAAAATCGCCGTCACAGAGTTCAAGATAGGAACTCATGTTCGTGAGTCGTTTCATTTACTTCGACCATCACAAACCCTAGTTATCTGGAAAGTATGTGCAATATGATAATCGGCAGTGGACACATGCCATGCTAAGTGAAATCTGCAAGTTCCTGGTTTGAGAGACTTATGTGACAATATCCTTTCCAAAGTTTTCTGCACCCTCCCATGCTCCCCAGCATCCAAATGCGTTGGCAAGCCTTCCCATATCCGGCTCCAACGATGTCAGTCGCAAAGGCCCAATTGGCGGTACATTGTATAGTTCATGCAAGACGGTTTCGACGGATGTAGATGTCATGAGCACCAGCTTACCCCGCGTAGGGTGAATGATTTGCTGGATTGTTTTAATTAGCTTTCTATTGGTGATCTGTCGCAGTTTCAGTAATGCACCCGTGCAGTCGCAGGGAGGCTTAGGCTTACTTCGTTCAAGAAAGGAGGGTCGGCAACAACTACATCCATAGCTCCATGTAGATCTTCCGGGATGATATCTGGCTCGTCTAGGTCGTAGTGGATGAACTTGGTCGGCGCAAGGACGCTAAACCGCTTGTCATACTCGAGAAGTCGTGCGCCGTCTAGTGGATTAGTATGCTGGAATGCTACGAACGCAGTTGGACAGCACATGAAGGCTATTTTCGAACTCGATGTGCAAATCGATCGGATGGATTTGGCAAGTCGGGTGGCATATGAAGTCGAATACCTGTCCAATATTTCAAAACCATCAGTATACATATCACTGGGCCTAAAAAGCAAAAGCATCTTGTGCTGGTACCCACTTCGGGGCTCCGCACAATGATCATAAGCAAAAAAAGTAAGCTACTGACCAGAATTGGCTGAGTTGCCAGTCTTCTCCAAATGCCAGACGATATTCATCTACGCTCATCATTGGAGGATCAGGTTGCTCGAGATCCACGTTCATTTCACGACTCGCGATGCGTGCGGCAGCCTGCTCAGCTAGGTCATTGAAGCGTTTTTCCTCCTCTGCTCTGGATGTCAAAAATTCTTGTAGAAGGGCGAGTGTGTCTGAAGATAGCTTTGGCGGAGAGCCTGATGGGCTGGAAGATAAGGAGACAGATCGAGGCGATCCTGAGGCGCGTTCCATAGTCATCTAGGTATAATTTAGTTGTTGAACTGAAGTTCCTTCGTTGAGTCGTCGAACAGAATTGCTTTCAAGTGATAGAAATGGGAATGTTAACGCGACTGATGCGAACTTGAGCACAGCCACAACCACAGGGGGAACCCGCGAGGGAACGGGAAAACCGCAAAAACTATCTTTTTGATGATATCTAGATTAGATTAGATCGGTGCAAATCTTTCAACAACCTTTCATCTTGACCCAATGGCAAAAGAACGAAACATTGTTGTCCTC